TCCTTCGCCAAACAAACCTGGAAATGGAGGGAAGAGAAAAACACATTAATATACATGCATGTATATAGCCTAGCCTCTATATAATGGACACTTTGAAGGTGTCTCTGTTATACAGAGGTGTCCTTTATGTGGAGGTTATTTTACACAATAAGGAATGTAATTGGTACACTAGGTGAGGTCCGTTAAATGGAGGAGTACGCTATAGAGAGTGTCCATTAAGAGAGGCTATACTATAAGCTTACAAATAGGTTGTCCCATTTCTCTCAGTTTTGCTTTCACTTCAGAATCAGACGTTGGCACTACAATAGACCGCACCTATTTATGGGTGGAGCAAGAAGTGATTGGAGTTATCATAGATAATAGAGTAAATGAAAGGGATTGGAAACGGAAGCGTGGGCGTGGGCAAACCTCCATTCATTTGTATTGTTGCTAAAGTAAACAGAGGAGGGTTGGGATTTTTTGACCGATTTTGGAGTAAAAAATAGGGATTTTTTTGCTTTATTCTTGAATAACTCCAAGAGAATACAATTCATGCAAACAAAACTCACACACAATACTAACCAGTGTTTATGCTTTTTATTAATATTTTTTGTTCAGTAAATCAATGCATGTGTTAGTAGCCGCGTCACTCATTAACTAGAAATACCATCTTTCCCCCTCTGAGAGACTCATTTTGTTCTTGAGCTACGAATAAGTATAACCGTTTTAAAGAGCTTGAAATCTCCTATGGAATGAGCTAACTTGTGTATTGATACAATGAAGCTTGAGTGTTTTACGAACGATAAAGTGTTTCAAAAACAGGCGACTTTGTGTACCTCTAACTGGCTGCAAAATGGCTTTTTGGAGATAAAAACCTTGCTGCAGGTAGTTTTAAAATTCTATGTGGAATAGGCTATATATCAAAAGCAAGTGCTATCCTGGAGCAGCACAAATTTCATTCGAAATCCTGCCAGAGCAACTTCACCAATGGAGGAGATGGGAAATCAATCAAAACACTGATGGTTGTCATGTGGTGACCCAACCCGCATTTTCTGTTGCTACGCCCCATTTCCAATCCCTTTCATTTACTCTAATATCTATGGGGCTACGAGCAGAGTTTTAATTAATTAAAAACTAACTCTTTTCTTCTTTTCAAATTCATCTATCAGTACTTTCTGTCTGTCAGGCAACTGAGCAACATCAACTGAAGAATCTGAAACAAATAAAATAATACATGCATGTACATGTACTACGCCCACGCACCACTAGTAATGTTAATGTTTCCAGCTTTTATTCCAGCTAGGACAGAAGATGACGTAAAGGAGGATTGTCCTGATAGTAAACGCTCTCTCTCTTTCTCTTCTAAACTCCCAAAGTGTATCCTTTTCTTTCCTTCACTGCTGCTCTCAGTCTCCATTGCTTCTTCCCGAGCTTCTTCCTCGTTTTTGGCCGCCATTTTATTTAAAAATTAAAACAATTATAAAATTATTAGTTATAAAACTAGTTAATTAATTATGTTATCAATACATTACTAATCTATTATTGGCATTATCACAAATGTAAAGGAGACCATCTTTATCAAATGTCATTTCACCATAAGGACTCTGAAACTGATCTTCGTTAGCTCCTTTCTCTCCAAAACTACGAACAAACACACGATCACTAGTGAAGATTGAGACACGGTGATTACTTTGTTCACTAACATACACTAAACCAGCATTATCTACTGCAATACCTGCTGGAGACTTAAGCTGACCAGGACCAGATCCTTCACTACCAAACTTAGACAGGTACTTACCATCATGAGTGAATTTTTGAACACGATGATTATTATAATCAGTGACATACACTAAACCTTCACTGTCAATAGCAATATCATGAGGACTCTTAAACTCTCCATCACCTGCTCCTCCT